AGTACTACCGGACGGCAGTCCAGTACGGCGCCGATAACACGGGCGTCCAGGACTCGTCTGACGCATTCAACTTTGCTATTGAAGGTATGTACCTTACTTTGATACTTCGATATACCCTCCAAGTCACTACGGTATGAAATCGGGCATGTTACTGAAAAACACACAACAGCATGGAGCCGCACAGGCAACACAGTAACAACCCGCCCAGCCTACATCTACGTCCCCCCTGGCCGGTACCGTATCAAGAAGCCGATCCAGATGCTCGTGACGACCTACCTCGTCGGCGACGCGCTCAACCCGCCCGTTCTCATCGCCGATCCGGCGTTAGGCAGCAACCCCGTAATCAACGGATACGATTCCCACCAAGGGGATGGGTCCGCGACCAAGAACTTTTACATGGCGGTGCGGAACCTGGTGGTTGACACCACTGAGATTGGGACGGGCGTCGCGGCCGTCGGCATCGATTGGAGCGTCTCGCAGGGGTGCTCGTTGACGAATGTGAAAGTGCGCATGCCGAATTTCTCGAGCCATGTTGGTGTGACTATGGCGCAGGGCGGTTCTGGCATCTTGATTAGCGATTGTGTAAGTCTTCCCGTGTTTCGTTTGTCAATAGCCTCCGGCAGCATGAGAAATGTCGAAGCCCGCTTTCGGGAACTGACAAATACGTCCAGCAATTTGAAGGCGGCGCCATCGGCATCAAAGTCAACGGCCAACAATACCAATTCAAAAACCTCTCCTTCAACGGCTGCAACGTCGGCATCTCCGTCGACCACGTCTACGTCGCCGTCGTCCAGGGCGCCACGTTCGCCAACTGCAACTTTGGCATCGACATGGGCCGCAACACCGCCGGCGTCGTGTCCGTCGTCGATTCTAGAGTGGAATCCTCCTGCAACGCCGGCGTCAACAACCTCGTGACGGGCTACGGTCAAAACTCCCTCGTCCTGGACAACTTCCAGGTCGGCGGCGGCGGCACCACGGCGGCTGTGAAGTCCTCGAGCGATGGGTCAACCCTACGAAAAGACTCTGTGCCGGCCGGGCAGACGTGGGTTATGGGATACGTCAACTCGAATAATCTGCAAAAGGGGACGGTGTACCCCATCGACCGGCCCGCTGCGCTGGTGTCCGGGGACAAGTACTTTACCGCGCCGCTGCCGCAGTATGAAAAGTATGCGCTGGATCAGTTTGTGAGTCTGAAGGGCGATGCGCAGTATCCCGTGTACGGCGACAACAGCCATAATGATGGGCCGAACATCAATGCCATTTTGCAAAAGTATAAGGGGTGCAAGATCGTCTTTGTGCCGCAGGGCATCTACCGTACCGAGGAGACGATCTACGTGCCCCCGGGAACGCGGCTGGTCGGCGAGACGCTGAGCATCATCAACGGTAGGTCACATCTCAAACCTCTGGAGTTCCTTGAAATTGATGACTGACTGCAAACAGGTATCGGCTCAAAGTGGTGGAACCCCGACGACCCTCAGCCCATCCTCAAGGTCGGCAACCCTGGCGAGACAGGCGTCGCTCAAATCACCGACATCACGGTAGAGGTAGCCGACGTCCTCCAGGGTGCAACTCTCGTACAGATCAACATGGCCGGCGCGCGGCCCGGCGACGTCGGCATCTGGAGCAGCGTCTTCCGCGTCGGCGGCACGAAGCACTCGCTGACCAACACAAACTGCGGCGGCGCGGACCCGGGCGCGTGCAAGGCCGCTTTCGCGCTCATGCACGTCACCTCCACGGCGAGCGCGTACCTCGAGAACGTCTGGGGCTGGGTGGCGGACCACTCGCTCGACGGTGGCGCTGCGCAGAATATTGCCGTCGGAAGAGGCGCGCTTATCGAAAGCACCAAGCCCACGTGGCTGGTGGGAACCAGCTTCGAGCACTGCGTCTTGTATCAGTATAACCTCCACAACGCGCAGAATGTATACATCAGCCTGGAGCAGACGGAGTCTGCGTATTGGCAGGGTGAGGGAACTCCCCAGCGAGCGCCCAGCCCGTGGTCGTGAGTCAACCCCGTCTCCCACAACATCATACCGTTGCTCCAAGTAGTTGATAACCTGGATGGCTGACTCTTTTCACACACAGCGTAAAAGCAGCTTTCGGCGACCCGGATTTTAGCAACTGCGCGGCCCAGGGACAAGGCAATAACGACCGGTGCTACCGCTCGTGGGGCCACTACATGACGGGCAGCTCCAAGGTGGTGATCCACGGCTCCGCGCTGTGGGTGTTCTTCAACAAGATGAACGATAACCAGTGGCAGAACGCGCAGTGTGAGAACACTGGCGGCAACTGTATGACCAACCAGGCCTACGCCGACGGCGCCAAGTCGACGTACTGGTTCGGCCTGAGCACCAAGAGCACCACCGCGCTGCTGTACGACAAGACTGGTGGCGTCATCTGGGAGGTGTTTGCAAGTGATAACACTGGCGGGTGGGGAGGTGTCCTTGCCGCCTATCTCCGAGACTCGGCAGCTTGAAGTCTGGAGAGGCTGTTTGGTGTCTTTGTGGTATAATTGAGACTTCATGTATATACTCGGGCGGAGATGCATATCCTTAGTTCTGAATCTAAGGAAAGATGTCTAGAAGCAAAAGTTTCTTGTGTATGTCGGAGCTCAAGTGCACCTACAGCGAATGTTGGAAAAGACTGGAAAAGACTACGACAATTGTCAACAAATAATAGCCACAGCATGTCCATAACAAACTCGCCATTTTGAGCCTTGGGCACGACACATGCAATCTTGGCCGAACGCAGGTCAGACGACTTACTAGGTCTTTGCTGATCGTACGCTCTCCTGTATAGCTCGAGATCCTGGTTCAAGTAGACAAGCGGTGGCGGGAGCGCGTCCAGGCATCTGTAGAGAACAAGTGCAACCGTTGTATTCGTAATGCATGTTACTTCTCTCTCTCTCTCTCTCTCTCTCTCTCTCTCTCTCTCTTTCTCTCCCCATCCGCCTCAATTGGTTTGCTCACCAAAGTCGACCTTAGAGTCTAGTCCGACTCAGCCGGTAGACTCAGGAAACGATACGAACATGGCTGCACGACTTACACATGGTGGACAAGATCTCGGACATATAGAGGATGTTAGAGATGCATCGTTGGGGCTTTCTGCTGCGCGCTCGTGGTATGTTCAGTGGCTAGCGTGGCTTTGACTTGGACATTCTGCCAAATATGGTTTGGCCAACGGATCTGCAGCGGGAGACGGCTCATGCTGAAGTTCAGACAGGGGCATGCATGTTGTAGCACCAATGGACGAAGGAGGCCTGTCTCGACACAGCAGCACCTTGATGGTATGACCGTACAAACAGGACTGAAAGCCGGGGTCGGACGAACTGCCAAACTCCCGAAACGTTGATCAACGCGTGCCGTGCGAGGTCTTTCAGCCTCTTTCGATGGAAGCTTCGAACCGAGGTCCCTTTTGTGCCTGGATCTTGGTGCATGCCTGGCCTTTGTTATCATGCACACTGCATGACAGCCCGCCGCACTCGGACTCGTTCTCGTTGGTGCTGCCCAATTTGGAGCAGGGGTTTCTGGGGTGTTACCCCAATTTGACTTCCCTCGGCTGCTGTCAGATTGAAGAGGAAGCCAGAAAGCTTGGGATGAATGCTGGGATCTACAGCATCTGACTGCTCATCAACGAGAAAGGTTGCGATCAGAGATCGTGGCGAACCATCAGAGAAGCAGAGCATGAATTGAGTCCGAATGCGGAATGCGATTCGGGGGTTGTAAGGTCGTCTGAAGCTTGTTTCGGAGAAGAGAAGGAACCACAGAGTCGGGATGTCTTGCCTTGTCTGCTGCTTCTGCGCTGTCTTGTTTCGTTCGGACCTTTGATTGACCTCGATCGACTCTTCTTTCCCTCGTGTTTCTCTTTGGTGCCTCGGTCTCTGCGAGACATGACGAACGCTAGCTGGAGCGCGGTGAAGAAAGGGGATTGTTCCCTGCGACGTGTAACTGGCGTGTAACCGGTAAGGCGCTCAAGGCAGTCGTTGGCTAGGGCCGGGACCAGATCCATGGCAGTAATAGGATCAGCGTTTCGATGGATCATTGTCACTTTCCAGCGCCGGTATCAGGTATGAAGACTTGGAGCATGCTGCGGCGTTGAGGTCGTGCTACACGGGTGTGGGCATCGCATGGTGAGGACGAAGGCAAGCAAGGCTTCTGTGGCGCTGTGGCTGGAACACATTGGTCACCGTTCGTAATTCGGTATTAATGATGGGCATTCTAGAACCCAACTGTCAAGGTCGACGATGAGTGGTGAAGAACGAATGGCGGCGCCTGTGCTTGGTTAGGTTGTGGCCGTCCGCCAAGTCCGTGAATCCCTCATGATAGGAAAGGTAAGGTACAGATACCTTGAAGGTCGAAGTAACCGTAAGTGACGAAGCGAAGCATCCACGAGTCTCCGTTCGCGCTACCGCGGTGCGTTTCTCCAGCGGCCCAATGCGCCATTCGGCCCCCATGAAAATGGAACTGGCATAAAGCGTGCGGGAGTGGAAGATGAATTCCACAAAGGTAGAATATGTGCAGGGGTGCTGATGCATTTGGCTGCACCTGGCTGGGATTGACCGTCGGGTTCCTTCCATGGCCATGGACCGTGGAGAAAGACCCACTCTTTCCTCTCTGGGGGATAAGGTAAGGTAAGGTACCTTTGTACTTCGTACTTTTGGTAGGTGCTGCTGAGGACACGCGCGGGCACATGACGCCCTGCCGTGTGTGGTAAATCGCCGAGGTTCACATGCGACGACTGAGCGTCATTGCTGAGGTGCGCTTAGCAAAGTAGCTTCCATCACTCCGCCTCCGTTCCTCTCTGTTTCTTTATTCCTCCGTCCGACGACCCCAACCTCCGACGCACGGCTTACCGTTGACACCTTTTTGTTCAGTACTTAAACTATCCCGAGTCCCTCCCCCACGTTTTGGTAATCCTTCGCGATCTATCACATCCAGCTGTCCATAATACACACCATTTCGACACCATCTAAACCAAGTATACCTATCTATCCTAAAGTCACAATGGGTCTCACCAACGGTACGTTATCCCCCTGCAACAATGTCTCGATTTCGGTCTCAATCGCACCCGGCGCTGACTCTGCTGCGATTCTACAGACAAGTTCCCCTCCTCCGCTGCTTTCGACGCCATCAACGATGCGCTCGGCTCCAGCGAGCCTGACCGTAAGGATGCCATCAAGCAGGGCAACGCCATCTTCGCCTTCACCCTGAAGAACTCTGCCGGCGAGACTGACAGCTGGCACATTGACCTCAAGGAGAAGGGCGTAGTTGCCAAGGGCACCGGCGAGAAGCCCACTGGTATGTCACTACTCCTGCGAGCGCGGCGCGGCGTCGCGCTGCTCTCCCCACGCTGGACCTTCGCTAACGTCGACACAAGTCACCCTGTCTCTGTCCGACGCCGACTTTGGCAACCTCGTCCAGGGCAAGGCCAACGCTCAGAAGCTTTTCATGTCTGGCAAGCTCAAGATCAAGGGCGACGTCATGAAGGCCACCAGGATGGAGCCCATCCTGAAGAAGGCTCAGTCTAAGGCCAAGTTGTAAATGTGTCGCAATGGATATTGCGTTGTCGGTAATACCCTGTACCATAACCTACCAGTCGGGCCAGCAAGTAGTGCTGGCTCTGGATGCGCGCCAAATGTAGCGTTGCCGTAGGAAATGAGACTATGATCAATCAATGAGCACCTTGACAGCCGTTCATCGCAGTGAATTTGACCGGCTCTTCATTTGAGAAGTTGCAGGAAACGTGGTAGAGCTCACTTCTGTTTTCCGCTGTCTGATGTTGTAAGCAACGGGGAAAAGCATGTGACAGCACGTAAGACCGGTCTCCGTAGCGGGACACTCCAGTACGTGTAAATTCCTTCATTATGGGAGAGAGCGTTTGTTTGCACCGGGAAAAATAGGTCAGCACGTTGTATAAGTGGCAGATTCATTCGACGGATGTCCGATACGCGTACTCCCGTAAAAGATATTAATTGCTTCCGTGGCTTCGACCTCAGCGTCAACGGTGCTGAACCTCAGATGGTGGAATTCCCGAGTATTGCCGCCCCGAGTCAGGAGGCCCATTTGGGGTTCGGAGCACCGGCGCCGCCATCTTCACGTGCACTCTCCGGCCGTGGTGAGCCGGATTGATCCGTACGGAGGAGCTCAAGCTTGCGATGACCAGTCGATACTTTGTTGCGGATATGCATACCCATGAATTGGATTTCCTCGAAGCCAACTCGACTGGGTTCTAGATGAGCCACTCAAGCTACAGGGTGTCGATACTTGTCAGCGACTCGTGAGCAAGGCCGCCGTCCGTTTTGGGTAACTGTGTTCCCCTGGTTTCAGTGTCGCAGTCGCACCAGCCAAACAGATGGCTTTTGGTACGCATGCAAAGGGGTCAGGAGTGCAGCCGGCTTGAAGGTGTGTGTTGCACTCAAGCACTGTACCTGTCTTATCTGCTTTGGTGATAATAGCGTGGGCTGACTCAGCAGACTCGAAGAGAAGCCTGGGCCAGCAGATGCTCCGTCGGATTTAGGTTCATAAAGAAGGTGAGAAGGTACCACTTGGCTCTGGGAGTACGTAGTGATCGTGGCTTCCATTCGTTCTACTGGTCGAAAGCTAGAGGATCGTGACGCGGGACCTGAGGAAAGATCGGGTCTGGGGAACGCCCTAGGAAAAATTGGAAGCGCCGACCACCAACCAGAAGTGCCCAATCGCAGGAGCAGCGGCACCTGCCACTTCCTTTGCACTTAAGTCACCCGTAAAGTGCAACCAATCGAGGGCGGTGACGCTGGCCTGAGGTTGAGTGACGGCAGAAAACGAGACCCACCCTTTTCCGACCGTGCTCACGCCCCCTGCACCGTGGCCTGGTTTTTTTCCCAATAGCTGGCCCCGTCACCCGTCGCCCGGTCGAGCCACACCAAAAATCATCCAGCACCAAAATCTTCGTGTGGTTCTTGCAGCCAGACTACCACCAAAAGGCGTCTTTGATGCGCTGTTCAGCATCACCTTCTTGATCGCTGCGCCATCGCGTTTTGCTGCTGTCGACACTTCCACCCTTCTCGACTTTTTTTTTCTATCCCATCGCGTCCACCCTTTAGCAGTTGCTTCTCGCTGTTGCGCCTGCTTTCCTTTCTTCGCACGCCTAGCTTTGTCTGCGAATCCTGCGTGAATCGAGACGCGACTCTCCCTCCGAGACCGAGTCGACCGTCGCAAACTTCATCATCAACGACTAATTATAATCCAGAAATCGATTCTTTGGTCGTCGCAAATCACTATGGATCAAAGAAACAGCACCCCGCGTCCGCGCCCGTCGCTCAAATTCGCGAACCGGAGCTACCAAGCTTCGCCTCTGAACCCGAACAAGCGACTCGGCACCCCCAAGACTGCTCCATCGCAGAGAGTCCTGAATCGAGACCCCATGCCATCGAGCAACCTCAACACAAGCACCATCTCCACCGCGAGCAACCTCTTCCGTTCCTCTACCCTTAGCGCGAGCTCCAACAGTACCCCCTTCGCTCCGAGCCTGCCTGCGAGCACCGCCAAGAAGGTCTTCGCGCCCGGCGCGACCCCGGCTTCTCAAAAGGTCTATCGAGAGAATATCGCACAGGCGACCCCTCGCGGCATGGCAGCCAAGTCGACGTCGGCCGATCTCTTCCAGATGCGCATCCCCTCCCCGCCTCCCGAGCTGTCTGGCGAAGTTCTCGCGCGAGATATCCCCCCTGAGCTCGAAGCAAAGGGTACAGTGTACGCCGACCAGTATCTCAGCCACCTGGTTCCGGCCGAGTACGATGACTTGCAGCGTCGTCAGCTGTTCTGCGTCCTCGATCTTCGTCGTCTGAAATATGCCGCCAACGAGATCTTCAACAAGAAGGATTGGAAGCTCAACATCATGAATTTTGCAAAGGAATTCGAAAAGAGCCGGAGCTTGATTATGCTCAGATATGGCCTGTACGAATTCAAGAACGTCAAGCCTTCAGAGGAGGTTTTGAAGAAGTGGAGGACCGCACATGGATTGCCTGAGCCCGAGGAGGAAGCTGCCGATGCCAGCCCGTCCAGGCAGACTACACGTTCCAAGCGCAAGGCTGAAGACCAGCTGACCCCCAAGGACGCGGCCCTTTCGAGCGCTTCCCCCAACAAGCATAACAAGAGGCGTATTGTGGACAGAGAGGAGGAAGAGCCGGCGACCCCGGCTACGGTCAAGAACAAGAGAAAGGCAACAGTTGAGGATGAGTCGGACGAGAACCAGCCCAGCAAGCTGCAGAAGTCTACCTCGACGCCCTCGGCCACCAAGAGCATGTTCGAAAAGATTGCCAACAACCAAGGCCCTTCTTCGACGCCCAAGGTTGCCCCCGCCCCTGCTTCCAAGGGTCCGGAGGCCAGGCCCAGCAACCTCTTCGGAGCAGCACCCAAGGCCGGTAACAACGACCTGTCACGCTCCGTTTTTGAGAAACAGCTCAAGCCTGCTCAGGCATCCAACATCTTCGGTTACTTGTCTGATGCTAGTTCGGCAAAGAACAGCGGTGTGGATGCTGACGCAGAGAGTGAGACCGACTCCGATGATGAGGCGGAACCCAGCGTTGCCGCTAGTGGTGGTGCCGAAACCCCGTTGGGTCAGCCGGCCTCCAACCTCTTCGGTGCTAAGAAGCCTATATTCTCTGGTGGCGCCGCGACTGCTCCTTCTAGCACTTCATCCGATGCCCGCGAGACCACTCCTTCCGGAACTAAGAGTCTGTTCGACCGCGTGACTAAGGGTAACAATGGACAGCCTCTCCGTGCGGACTCGGCTGAGCCGGCGCCGGCTTCTGAGAAGCCAGCTTTCGCCCCGGCCAAGGAGCCTGCTCCGGCCCCGGTTAACGCTACCTGGAACCCCAACTCGCCGATCAAGTTCAATGCCAACCCTGCGCCTAGCAATGGACTCTTCGGCGCGTCCACGAACGGATCGAGCTCCATTTTTGGTGCTAAGCCTGCCGCTCCTGCTGCCCCTGCATCCAACTTGTTCGGCGCCCCGAAGCAAGACGAGAAGCCTAAGGCAGAGAAGCGTTCTGCTCCTGAGGAGGACAAGGGCGCGGAGTCCGATAAGGAAAACGACTCACAGCGCCCTTCCAAGTCCCCCTTTGGCGGCTTCTCCGGTTTCCAATCGAAGCCGTTCGAGGCGCCTAAGAAGGACGAGGCAGCTTCTAAGCCGGCTGCCGCGCCGACTTTCGCGTTCGGTGCTTCCGCTCCTAAGGCGGAAGAGCCCAAGCCCGCCGCCCCAGCTTCAAACCTATTTGGTTCTCAAGATAAGCCTGCGGGCTCTGTCATGCAGTCATCGACACTCTTTGGTGGCAACAAGCCTCAGGAAACGCCTGCCGCCGAGCCAGCTAAGCCCCTCTTCGGCGCCAGCACATCGAGCACTTCGACTCCTTTCCAGTCGAACCCCCTTTTCGGTGCCAAGCCGCCCGCGCCGAGTACCTCGAACCTCTTCGGTGCAAAGGCGAGTGATGAGGGTTCCCAGGTTCCGCAATTCGCTCCCATGCCCGCTGCGGCTCCTGCCTTCAGCTTTGGCGCCAGCAAGCCGACGGAATCCGCTGGGTCTCCCTTTGGTGGCAGCCCCATGAAGCAAGATGGGCCGCCAGCGAAAAAATCGTTCAACGCTCCCGCTCCCTCCGCCCCGGCCGCACCATCCGGTGGCATGTTCAACTTTGGTGGACAGAGTGCAGCTCCCGCTAACCCCTTCGGCGGCGCTGCGCCTGCACCTCATACAAACGGTGGCTCCAGCGGCCCTCCAAGCTTCGGCTCTGGAGGCGGTTCATCCTTCACCTTCAGCGCTGGTGGCGGTGGCGGCCAGAGCTTTAATAACCCCTTCGCATCTGCTAATGGCGGCGGCTCGGGCTCTGCTCCTGCGCCCTCGGCCGGTGGCATGTTCAACTTCGGTGGCGGCGGATCTTCCGCGCCCTCCAACAGCTCTACACCGTTCCAATTTGGCGGTGGCTCGTCCGCGCCTCCGCCTGCGCCGGCAAGCAACACCCCCTTCCAGTTTGGAGGCGGCGCCCCCGCTCAGCCTGCTGCCTCGACTCCCACCTTTGCTTTCGGTGCCTCTAACGGAGCTGCCAATGCTCAGGCACCTGCGTCTCAGAAGCCGCTGTTTGGAGCGTCGACCCCAGCACCCACGAGCAGCCTCTTTGGTGCCAAGCCTGCCCAGCCTCCCTCTGGCGGCATGTTCGGTAACCTGCAGCCCCCAGCGGGAGCTTCTACCACTGGCACAAACTCGCCTTTCAACTTTGGCGGTGCCTCGAGTCTAGCTACGACTCCTGCCACTGGTACTCCCGAGCCGGCTGCGGAAGCCGATAAGGCCGCCGGTGGTGAAGGCGACGATGCTGATGGCAAGCCTCACGAGCAGCTCAAGCTTACTGAGGGTGGTCCTGGCGAGGAAGACGAGGAAATCCTCCACGACGTCCGAGCCAAGATTATGAAGTTCATTCCGGCCGGGTCCGAGGAAGACAAGGACAGCGGCGACGATCAGCCCAAGAACAAGAGCCCTTGGTCAACCAAGGGTGTCGGCCCGCTCCGTATCCTGAAGCACAAGAACACGGGCGCGGTTCGCATGCTGCTGCGCGCGGAGCCTCGTGGGCACGTCGTGCTTAACCGCACCGTTCTGCCTGCCGAGACGTACAAGGCAGACAAGAAGTACGTCAAGCTCACGACCTCGAACGAGACGGGCAGCGGTCTCGAGACCTGGATGGTGCAAGTCAAGACGGAGGATTTCGCCAAGGCGCTGGCAAGTGCTTTGGAGACCCACAAGTCTGCCAACAAATGAGGCAAATGATGGAAACGCAAATGAAAAAGGGATTATGGAAGAATGCCATAGCATGTGTTTTTGTTTTTGTTCACCCCTCTGTTGTTTGGTCCGAGTTTTATACTAGACGGAGAGAGAAAGTATGTGTCCTGTCGAGTGTGTGACGGACAAAATGTGACGGAGCGTTGGGTGTTTCGCGTAGCGACACAAAAAGATAAGGTAAGGCATAGCATTGCTCTTTTGGCTCGGCGTTGGGATCATGTTTTTGTTGTTTTTTTGGTCTTTATTTTACCCTTCTTCACTCGTTTCCTCTCGAGGTTGCTGGATGTGGTTGCTCTCCGTACTTCATTGGGAGGGCGGGTTTGTGAGGATTGAGAGTGGGGGGCTCAGAGGAGAAGACTGAGAGAGGGTGTGGAAGACTCGAATAAAAAGTATAGCTTGTAGAAGTTACATTGGGAGGGATAGGGGAATTGTAGTACATTATCAAAGGAAATTGTGTACCTGACTTGAAGTTTCGGTTCGCCTCGCTCCCGTGCTGTGAGTTGAATATATGGCGACAGGAGATGTCCTTCATAGTTTCCGTGGTCGTCTTTTGCTTGAAGTCCAATTCTGGTGAGGATGGTTCGGACTCGGTTTCCTTCATGGCTGCAGGTCTCTGAACGGCAGATTCCATGTATACATACAAGGACACATGGGTGGGAACTTGGAGTCCTAGCCACGGAGTCGAGTTAAGTACACGGATACTTGGTGATGGCAGACAGATGTTATACATGTTGGGTTAGAAGACGGACGGGAGGGACACTTTAGTACCGGCCGCCCGAACCTACCAGTGGGGTTTAGGGTGTATATGTATAGACTGATTTAGTATAGAGTGGTCTGGTTTGAATGGCTGAAGGAGGGTTTGTGGTTGTGTGCCCAGAGTTTGCCTTTCGTTCCTGGCTTCGGAAAGCTGTCCTGTTTATAATGTTTGAAAGTCAATGGTCTGGTTCCCCGGGGTGATGATGGGGGAGAGTAGTAGTAGTGCTGCTTTCAGTCGTGAGCTTTCCCCTCGTTGAATGTATGTCCTGGGAATCGCGGAATGAAGTTGGGTAACCAAACTCATTGATTTTCTGTACACCATTCATGTTCCTCCCCTGTAGTTCTTGGCAGGCGAGCAAACAAATGGTTTTTAGACTGTTCATAGAGTAGGCAGAATACCGGTGTACGCCCGAGTGCGCGTCGAGATGCTTGGAGTGAACAGTAGTCATGGCCCCCCTAAATTCCTTCTCGTCCAGCTCTCCGGTGAAATGCTTGTTCGTAAGGTCATTGAATGGCCGGAACGTAGTTCGAGGCGGCAGGCAACTTTGGCCGGAGTCTCGCCGGGCTCGCTGTCGTCGTCCATCTTTATGCAGTCTTCGCTTCTTCGCCAAAGTCAGGCGGGCTTGCCTCCATCAGCTTGGTGGCAATGTCTGAACCGGTAACTGCCGCTCCACTGGGGAAAGCAGTTGTCAGGATCCTTTCCGAGGTCAACGACCATGTTCTGGCAACCAGAGCACTTTCTCTCAGACTGTGGGCGAGGATCCGGTATCTGGTCTGAGCACTCACACAATTATATTTGCTCTAGGTCGTCCGTCTAGCCTATATTCGGTGCGGGATATGGTGTAAGATCTGAGGGCTTTTGACGAGAATGAGGTTACTTCCATCATGAGAGAGACACCTTGGGGTTGGCGCAGTGGCATCATCATGTCCTGTGGATGGGGCAGAGAGAACCTTGGGCACTTCGTCACTCAATGATCGTCTGGCCCTGTAGGGAACATTCGACTTGTCTTGCTGGAAAAGCAGACTGCAGGACCTCTTCAAGGTATTTTTATACTATAAAACAGTCCCGCTGTAAATCATCCCAAGGTATGAGTGCTAAGGTAAGAGTAGCTTCCTGGTAGGCAGGTTGAACGCTCTCTCCTCGGTTGTTTCCTCGAGAACACAAATACGACAGCGCAATGATGTTGTATATTGAAACTAGTCCCAACGAAAGCGCAAGAAGGAAGGGATCTTGGCTTCTCTTTCGCCTGGTGATTTTATCTAATTCGTAGTTCCAGATGGGTTGAGAACGGACGCGGAGAACGGCATAAAATTTTGAAGTCGATAACTGCAATGTCTCCTTTCTGATATCTATCAAGAGACTGGGGCCAACGAAATAACATTCACCCGCCCTGGAGATATACCTCTACCTAGTATGCCTTCTGCCTTCCGAGTCTACATCAAATCTGACTACCTGTTTACCCAGGTGGCCGAGCTGTCCTTACCGATTCCATCTCAACGATATTTTCCATCGCCAGCGCCCCACCCCACCTTGAACCTCACCTCCCCAAAGACAAACACTCCAACAAAGAGTAGCATTGCTGGCTACCGAGAGGCGCGACTGCCCTGATAGACTGAAATTACTTCGAGATACCCAGAGCCTATGGACATGAGTACCAAAAAGCGCCTGTCGTTTTCATCATGTGTAGTGTTGCCTGCTTCCAGTGGACCTCTCGTTTACTTACGTAGGGGAAGGAAGGCCATGAGCATGGAATCCAAATTGCTTGCCTCATGGCTGGGTTACACGATCGGAAGAGCCAAACGTAAGCTACGGAATACCAGTCAAGTCTTTAGTCACAAAATCTCAGGCACAGCCAGTGTTGGAGGTATTATCATTCATGGACAATCGAGGGTAACTAGTGTACAAAGGTGGTGGTAGGCCAGGTCCAATAGAGACCCAGGCAAAGCGGCACATGGAAGTTTGTCCGCGACAATGATCATCTCAAAAATACCCCGCCCAGTCCTGTTTATGCATGTTTCCTCAAGACCCCGTCCCTGTTTCCATGATCCACGATTTCGTTGATGCAAATGCTAGACCCCGGTTCCTGATAATGCTATGCCGACAAACATGAAAGTAAAAAAAAGGACTTCTGCCCTGTCACAGTCCTGGCTGTCATCCTTATCCCCATCCCCCAATCCCCGTTTCATGGGACAAACCCAAGTGCGTATTTCGCCTCTCCTATTCGGCGAGTATTACAACAAAAGAAAAACTGGGGGCGTGTTCCCCAGATCCAGCCAAATATGACTGGCATGTACATGATAAACCCGCAGGGCGTTTGCGAATCTAGTTGTCGTGCCTGAAAGTGCACTTCTCGCCTCTAGCGCACTTGCCCTGCTGCCAAAAGCTGCAAGGCTTGGTGCCGATGAGGGCACGATTGACAGGGCGATGAGGAGCCAGCGTGGCACCGCCAGGAGCGTTGCCCTTGCGGCCTTTGCTTTGCTTGCTACCCTTCCCTTCACGATCACGGCCGCGGTCCCTATCCCGCTCGCGTACACCGTGATGCTCGAACTCGTCTCTGCTGTTCTGGTCACTGTAGTCTACGAGCTGGCGCTGAAGGTGAGGAGGAGGCTTGTACGAGTTCGCATCGTGGTCAGGCGGAGACTGTGGAGCTGCTGGCGGAGGCGATGCTTGCTGTTGCTGCTGCTGAGGCTGTTGCTGTTGCTGAAGCTGCGCGAGCATCATCAGCTGCTGATAACCAGTATCTGATGGATTGAGGCCATATTGGTTGCCTTGTGATGCTGGCTGCTGTTGTCCCATTTGGGCGAGCATCGCTTGAAGCTGGAAGTCCTGTGCAGGCTGTGCAGCGGGAGCCGGGGCAGGTGCTGGTTGAGCCGGTTGCTGAGGTTGCCCACCCTGTAGCATGGCCATGTACTGGGCGTACTGTTGCTGTTGCTGATAATAAGCTGCCCACTGTTGTTCTTGAGTTTCAGGCGCCGCGGGCTGCTGAGCCTGAGCCTCGGTCTGGGGCGCGTTGCGAGCTGCATCCTCGGCCTCCTTCTTGGCTCTTGTCGTAACATCCTTTTGGTATCCGGCCCACCACTCCCTCGTTCTCTCCTGGTTGTTCGCCAAGTATGCTGGTGGACTAGTCGCCGGGTACGGCAGTCCTCGCAAAGTCTCGGCCGCCTCCTCGACCTGGTCGGCGGCTGCTTGAATGGTTGGATCGGGATAATCGTAGCGTCGATGAGTCTGGGGGGCAGCCGAGCTGAAAGGGTTGGAGTCCCGCCAGTTCTGTACCTCGTCCGATGTCAGAATACTGTTGACTTTGTCGTCGAAAGGAATTGCCGGAACAGGTTGCATTTCCGCTGCGGAAGGAATAATTGGCTGCGCGTTCTCCTTGGGCGGTGTCATGTTGTACGGCTCGGGCTCGACGGCTGGGGCAATTGGCTTGAGGTTGCCCAGAATTGAGTTGAGCTTTGCACCAGGGTCGTCCTTGGCATCGAGACGCTTGCGAGCATAGTATTGTGCCGCTTCCCACCCAAACGTCTGTGTCTCCTTCCAGCGCTTGTGGATCTCGTCGTATTTCGGCTCACCCTGCGGCAGCTGATAGACTTTGCCCTCGGGGCTGCTGACGGGTGTCGCGGACTCGGGGGCAGGAGACTTTGGCGTAGGCGGAATGTCTGAAATATCCATGTAGGTAACCATTAGCTCCTTCTTCTCCCGCTCCTCTATGGCCTTCTGTTCCTCCGTATGGAAAGTCACGTTGCCACCACGAGTAACATAAGACTTGTTGCGAATGTCTTCGGGGATTCCAGAAAGGTCGGCGAGAGCCGGCATGGTCCAGGGCTTCTCTGGCAACTCGTCCTCCTCGTCATCGTCCTCATTGTAATTACGCTGCTTGAGCATCATTCCCTCAGATCGGTCATCCGCCGCGTCCTTGGTCATATTATCCTCGCCTTCAGCGACTTCTTTGGTGAAAATACGAATCTCGACCAGCTCTTCAGGGGGCTTGAAGCTGACACGTAGATGACGGCGGGCCTCTTTGCGAAGTCGCTTTGCCTTCTGTTCGGGTGTCTCCGAAATTTCTTTCTTGCTCGAGTCCTTCGCCTGTGTTGAGGGGCCGTCTGGCTTAGGCGCGGTGATGGAGTCAAGTAGAGAGGCAATGCTGGACAAGGAGGAGCCGCTGGAGATAGCAGCTTTGACAGCAGACACCCTCGACTCGGGCTTAGCCGCGGACGCTGCTGGCCTCTTATCGATATCCATGGGCGTGGTCGTGATGGGTCCGTCGGATTTCGAAGGCTCGCCCTTGGGAGCGTCTCTTGTCCCAACTGGCTTAGGTGCCCGAATTTTGTTAGCAAGAGTAGTCGCTGGCCGCTTTGCACCAGCACCAAACTTGGATAACAGAGTTCCGCCTGTGGACTTGGCACCGATTTTGTTGCCTAGCATGCCGCCAGTTGTTGACTCGACGGCTATCTTCTTGGTGACGCGAGAGTCGGTGTCTTCATCACGGACTCTCTTGGCAGGAGAGCCATCAATAGGCTTGGCGGCCGGCTTGATGACTTTGCTGACAGGAGCAGCCGGCGTTGTCTTCTTGATGTCGACCCCATTGGCTGTTTCTGTGTCTTTCTTAATCCTCGACGCTATCGTACGGACCAATTCCTTGACCTCAGCATCGCCCTTGTCAGCAAGGCGCTTCCGCACGTTCTCAAAGTTGACAGCCTCCGTAACTTTCTTGAACATGCTGATGTTCGACATGAATCGAAGAAGGGCCTTGGGCAGAGGTCCGCTGAAATCCCCAGCCTTTATGGCGCCTATCAACATGTTGACCAGACTCAAGATACCCTTCTGATGGCCGCCAAAGTTCTCCAGCACGGCCTCATCGCCGTGCTTAGCTGCCGCTTCACAAACTCGAGTGAAGGTCTCCTTCTTGATGTCGAGCTTTCTATTCCACTCTGAAATTTCCTTCTCAGGCTTCTTCTCCTTGGTTGCTTGGTCGAGTTCCTGCTTCAAACGGTTCGTTTCTGATCTCAGCTTGATAAAAAACTCACCCAGAGACTGAACGGCGCCAGCAATGAGCGCATTCGTTCTGGTCGCGGAAGGATCAATGTAGACAATGCCGAGGATGTCCCAAACAGCACCCTCAATGGGATCTGTGGGCCGCTTTTCAGGACGGATGGGCTTCTTGCGTTCTTCTTCCTCTTCCTTACGAGCTTTTCTCTGGGCTTTAGATTTGGCGGCCTCGTCGGCCTTGAGCTGCTCCTGGAAGGCGAAGGGGTAGTCGGCGTACTTAGGCCGCCGAACACCCAAGCTCGTCATCTCACGTTGATACTGCTCGATGAGGGGTCTTGCCTCTGTCTCGCGGTCATCCGGCTTTCCGACAAAGTTCGGGGATGGCCTGTAATTTTCCATGAATCTCCCTTGAATCTCGCATGGAAGATCGGGACGGAGTTCGGGCAAAATGCGTCTTCCATTGGGCGATGGCAACGCGACCAGAGGCGCGAGTCGGTCGTAACTCTTGGGCGGGATCAACTTGGCTGAGCCAGTAGCAACAAGATACGAAGCTCCGGGGATTGGAGGGAATTGCTTCTTGGATGTGGCGTTGCGTTTCTTGAATTGTGCCAGAAGAGCCATTTCCTCCTCGGTACTAGAAGGCAAGACCAGTGTTTCTCCATCTTCTCCCTTCTTAACGGTCGCATCGCCAGGAGAGTCGGCTTGTTCAGGTTCAGGCTCCTTCTTGACAACACGCTTGCGCTTCTTCTGCGGCGTCGGCTCAGGTTGCAGTGCAGGGTCAATGATAGGCGTCCCGGGTTGAGAAGCGGGTGCTGCAGCGATGAGCTGGGGTTGTGATGGCTGCAACTGATGATGCTGTTGCTGATTGTGCTGCTGCTGCTGCTGCTGCGGTTGCGGCTGTTGTGGCTGAAGTTGACGAGCTGGTGCTGGTGAAGGTACTGAATTGGCCTGATGTATAGGCTGCTGTTGCTGGGGCTGTGGGGATGGCTGAGGTGCCGAGTCCTGACTAGGCATTTGCCTTGCAGCAACGGGCTGAAAAGGCGATCTTGCTACAGGCTGAGCATAGGACATTTGCTGAGGGACAAACTTGCTCTGCTGATATTGCGGCGGTTGGGTTTGTTGGAAAGATGGCGGAGGCGTCTGAGTGGAAAATCCCTGGCTGTTCTGTTGACGAGGCGGCTGCCCCTGAAAGGGATGAGGTGATTGAGAAAAGACTCTCTCAGGCTGGGCCTGATGTTGTTGAGGTGATGGAACATAGCTCTGAGGGGCGGGTGAGAAAGACTGGGGAACAGAGTCGAAGCGCTGCTGTAGTTGTGCCTGGGACTGGTGACCATGCTGAGGCATGAGTTGAGCCTCGGTATATTGGGGAACATTTCCGTTGAACAGCTGGTTGGCCTGGCCGTTGTACTGAAATTGTTGCTGTGTAAAGTCAGGCGTATGACCATGGTTGAGGTTGTCGATGTTGGCGTTGTTGAAATCGGCTTTGCTTGGCTGGCCGTATAAGTCTTGGGAAAATTCACTTAGACTAGCCAAAGTGTCTTCTTGGCCAGCGTCTGTGTAAGCAGTGTCAAGAGAAAATTGGCCATGGCCACCATGGAAATTGCTGTGGTTCAATGTTGACATGCCGTTGTGGTCGTTGGCTACAGCAGCATGGCCTTGATGTGGTGAAGCATAGAGATTATTCTCGTTGGTGTTGCCTCCGCCCCGTGGGGCAAGTTGTGGGAAAGCATTTTGGTTAGGGATTTGATGCTGCCAATTTTGGGTGGCATCGAACTGGTTGGATCCATCAGGGAACGCATATGAGCCCGACCACATATTATTGTGACCTTGAGCAGAACCCGTCTGGCCATTTTGTTGCCAGTTTTGCATTATATCGGCCTCTTCCTCCGTTGTGGAAGAAGACGCACTGATAGACGATGAAGTTTAGGAAATCCTCATGCAATCATTGGTGGAGAGCACTGCACAGCTGGAGCCAATTAGCATCTGTCCGATGGAGGTGCGCTACTTTTGGCACGCAGTCTAGCTTGACCGTGCAGCAGGGTGATCAGACGAGTGAGACGCTGATTGGGGGCTGCCAGGGATGGAAGCGTTTGGGGTATGGGAAAAGAAACTCTTTCAAGAGGTGGGGTGGAGATAAGAGTTTGGAAGAAGTTAAGGTTCGTTGGGTGGAATGGGATAATCAAAGGTACTTCTCCCAGCAAAGACTGCGGCCGAGGAACATGAAGTGGAAAATAGCGGGGTCGGGACGGCTAATTACCGGCCGTGAGCTTGCAGCTTACCTTGATGTGGCAGCGGGTGAGGGATGGAATGCACTAGTCTGAATGCGTCGAGGTGGCAGGGATTGTGGTGTGGTGAATGCGCCGAAGACACAGAATTCTGATGGTAGGGGAATGATGGAGGGCGATCGTGTTTTCTCTTGCCTGGAGAGGACTGTAAAAGTTGGTTAGCAATCAGGAACGGCATGGGTATGGCAAGGCTGCGTGTATGGTTTGTGTATGGAGTGTTGATGTGAGATTGACTTGTAGAAGTGCGGAATCTTTGGCGACCACTCGGTCTGTAGTGAAATCCTTTGACGATTTGGTGCCCGTAGAAGGCGCAGGTGGAAACCCCCTGGGAGCGCGAACGGTTGTGCTGGACTGGAGAAGAGGCCAACTTCTGAAGGGCACTTATAGAAGCTGGGAGGATCGCCCTTGCGAGGTTGGAGATGGAGGGCATTGAAGAGGTTGTTGGCAATTCTCCTGGCTTGCGTGATTGATGGGTGATGGACGTTTGATTGATTTGCAGCGGAAAATTGGCTCCACGCCGGGAGATGATTGATTTGGCTTCAATGGCAGACGTCCTTTTCTCAGTGTTTCTGCTTTCCAGCGTGATTTGTCTGTCTCCTAGCCGACGGCGAGTGGTGAAGGCGAGCTGAGGTGAGGTGGACAGAAGGTGTTGGGTGGTCCCTTGTTTCCAGTGGGCTACATCCTGCCGACCGTCCGCTGTGGTGGAGGTCCAAGGCCCGAGACAGCGCACTTCGAAGTCAGGTAGGGGAAGGTCAGATGCACTGCCCGTAGACCCCGCCTCTGTACCCAATCCAGCTCCCCGTCTGTCTGCAACCTGCGCAGCAAGTCTTGAATGGCGAAGTCGAAATGAGTGAGATTGATGGGTGCGAAGATGAAGGTGTGGAGGATGAAAGCCACGCTTCGCAATATCGACAAGTGTCTCTGAGAGGAACTGAGTCGTCTGAATTGCCCGTTCTGCTTGCTCTTGGCCCTCATGTATCCCTTTTTGCATGGGGATGTACCAGCCGATGCCCGCCGCGCCGCGGAACAAGGCGTTCTGCTTTGCAGAACATTTTAAACATGAGGTTTACTCGTGTCCTTGTCCACATTTCCACGCGCGTAGTGTCTGCGTCTGCCCCTGATCTGTTCCGACTTTGCAAATTTATCGCTGCAGAAGTCCAGTGCGGGTTGAGTTCGAACGCCAAGGCTTCATCAAGAATTTTCACTCAAACAAACATTGCCATGTCTGCATCTCCATTGGGGAGTGGATGGTGACCGGATGATGTTGATGGAAATCGCGCTCATCATGATGGCGGTGTGTTGGACAGATGAGTGGTTGATTGAGGGGAAGGGGAGGAATTGGGAAGCGTGGGAAAGGGGACAAACGTGAGGTTGGCTTGGGGGGAGAAGTGAATCATACCCTGCAGTTCTTGTGTCTCTGTTCAGAGCAAGTTATTTTGCCTTGTGAAGAAGACCTGGCTTCGCGACCTTAACGTGGTTCGCAGCGTGGATTTGATGAAGGTCGCGCAAATTACAACATGACCGTCGACTGCCCGAAGAGAAGGGGGAGCGAAGACTGTCACAAAAAAGAAGGGAACGAAATGGAGCGATCGCGGTAAGCCTAGGAGGCGACAGTCAAACAGGCAAGTTAAGTGCCTGATGCCGCCTTCAAAAGTTCCGGAAAATAAAGATCCAGAGTCGCTCAGAGTTGTTGCCAGAGGCCCTTCCGACGCGTCTTCCTGTCGATTATTTTCCGTGCGGTTGGCGATGACTTGTTGTGCTGATGGTGAAGGAGGAAGAAGCGGAATGAGTTGTCGTTGCGGAGGAGGAAAAGCTGGTCATTGTTTCGCAGTGGCCTGTCCAAAGGGAGGCGGGAAGGTCACTTTGTGGCCGCACTTATTAGGCATAACTGTGAGGTGGGTCCGAGCCAGAAGGGGCCAACCGCCAACACTTTCCAGGTTGGAAAGGGCCACATACGGACCTGGCTTGCCTTGGCTGTGACTGGACAGGGCCCTCGTGCCTTCCCAGTTCCGCGCTGCACCACCTTTTTAGCCACAGGCCTCTGTCGGCAGCTGCAACTCAGTTCCTCCCCCCATCCCAGTCTCTGGCACTTGCCCTGGGCTCTCACCGCCCATCGGATCACGGAGGCTCAGTAGTGCCGGCCCATGACATCGTGCAAGGCAGGTACCAAGGTATCCACTTCAGCACAAGCACAGGGCAGGTCAGCGGAATCATCCAGGAAATGTGGCTCGAAGTCGACGGCACTTTGAGGACACCGATGCTGGAGCAGTGTACGTACCTCTCTGTCTGTCGCAACAGCAAGACGTCAACCTCGATTGCACAACGCGACAACGGAGAACGATTGACTGAAAGGCGTAGCATACACGTCCGATAGCAATTTCCAGTTCTGATTTTCGTTTTGTATAACCCATCAACAAGCCTCCTGCGGCAGCAACAGCTCTCTCCCAAGCTAGCTAGAGCTGCAAAGCTCCCCCACCATCGTCATGGCAGCGAAGGGCCACTCACTGCGCGATCGCCAGATCTGTACGTCGCATAACCTGTTGCGCTCATGTTCTCTAGGGAGCATTGAAGCTAATAAAGTCTGAAGCCGCATTAAAGAAGCTCCTCAGCCTGAACGACTCCTACTCGGATAATGACACCGAAAACACCCAAACCAACGGGGGCGCACTTGGACCGACGGGCGCAATCATCACCTCGGATGGTGACCCCCTATGGAAGGTCCTCGTCTTCGACGATCTCGGTCGCGATGTCATCAGTAGTGTTCTCCGAGTCAGCGATCTGCGAGGGCTGGGAATTACGATGCACATGTATGGCCGCCTGTTTTGAGAGCCTTGTATCCTACTGACGCGAATCCAGGCACATTGGAGCATCTAGACATGCTATCCCCGACGTACCGGTCATCTACCTCCTCGAGCCTACGGCGCAGAACCTCCAACACATTACCGGCGATCTCCAAAGGGGCCTATACACTCCCGCATACCTGAACTTCTTATCCTCCATCCCTCGACCGCTGCTTGAAGACTTTGCGGAGCAGACGATAACCGCCGGCACATCGGACAACATTGCTAGACTCATGGACCAGTATCTGAACTTCATCGTTGCCGAGCCTGATCTTTTCAACCTGGGTATGCAACGAGACCACACATACTGGGCACTGAATAGCGCAACGACGAACGACGAGGAGCTGGACAGGGTGGTGGATCGGATTGTCAGCGGCCTCTTCAGCGTCATCGTCACCATGGGCGTCATTCCCATCATCCGGTGCCCCAAGGGCGCTGCCGCGGAAATGATCTCTGCCAAGCTTGACCGAAAGCTTCGCGATCACATTCTCAATTCCAAAGAAAACCTCTTCTCTTCAAGCGCCCGTCCGGCGTCGGCAGGAACGCCACAGTCACGACCTGTCCTAATCATTCTCGACCGAAACGTCGATTTAATACCCATGCTTTCCCATTCTTGGACCTATCAATCACTGGTCCACGATGTTTTAAATATGAAGTTGAACCGAATCACGATAGAGACGCCCATAGACGAGAACAACCCTGCCAAGGGAAACACCAAGAAGGCCTACGACTTGACGGCGAGCGATTTCTTCTGGACCAAAAACGCGGCTGTGCCGTTCCCTCAAGTAGCCGAGGATATCGACGCCGAGTTGACGAGATATAAGGAGGACGCGGCGGCAGTCACCAAGAAGACGGGAGTGACAGACCTGGAGGACCTACAGAATGATACCAGCGCCAGCGCGCAACACTTGAAGGCGGCCATTACCCTCCTGCCAGAACTTCGCGAGCGCAAGGCTGTGCTTGACATGCACATGAACATCTTGGCAGCGCTATTGACCGGCATCAAAAACCGGCAACTTGACAACTTCTTCCAAGTCGAAGAGGGTGCCGCAAAGCAGACCAAGGCTCAAATACTAGAGCTTATCAAGGACAGTGCAAAGGGCGATGAGCCGGTTGACAAGCTGAGATTATTTGTCATCTGGTACCTGAGCACTGAACAAGACGTCAGCAGGGCGGAGTGGGAAGGCTTCGAAAAAGCTCTTACAGAGTGCGGCGCAGACACAACTTCTCTCCCGTACATTCGACAGTAAGTTACCACTGGCATGACAATCAACACCTGCTCTGCTCTTTGTTACTGACCACCCACGCTCTCAGAGTCCGCGCCACCACCAAGATGACCCAGCTCACCACAATCTCCAACCCGACAACAAACCAGGCCGGCTCCTCCGACATCTTTGGCCGCTTCTCCTCCATCTCTAACCGCCTCACCGACCGCTTGAAGGAAAGCGGCGTCCCCACCGGCCTCTCCTCAAACTTTGAGTCACTCATCGGCGGCATCAAGAATTTCCTCCCCGCCAACCGCGACCTGACAATCACCAAGATTGTCGAGTCAATCATGGACCCTTCCACCGCCGCCAGCTCCGCCATCGCAAAGACGGAGAACTACCTCTACTTTGATCCCCGATCCGCCAACGCCCGCGGCACCATGCCCCCGCCTAGCGCCATCCGCGCTGGCGCCGGCGGCTCCTCCGCACCGGGTGGTCTGCCCGGCCAAGCCGGCGCAGGCACGGGCGCCAGCTTCGGCCAGCGTCGCCAGGGCTTCTCCGAAGCGGTCGTCTTCACTGTCGGCGGCGGCAGCATGGACGAGTACGGCAACCTACAGGAGTGGGTTGAGCGGACGGGCGGCGATCGCGCGAGGAGGAGGGTGGTGTACGGCAGCACGGAGATTCTCAATGCCGACGAGTTTATCAAGCAGGAGCTCGAGAGGCTCGGTAAGGAGGTGGCCTCGTAGAGCGGCGGTCATTGTCACGGGACTTGAAAAGCCCACGTTATTGAAGAGTTTGTGATGGCCCTTGGCTTCTCATTTTCTTTGCCACGCTGCGGCTATGTAAGGTTGAGAGTATTTAAAAAGCAGTAAATACGATTCCCAAATTGGTTCAACGATACACTCATGACTGGTGACTTTTATTGCCATAATCCGTGATGAAGTGAGAGAGCAAGGGGTAGGTATATGAGTTTCCCTCGAGAATTGAAAAGACCTTGCTTGCGAAACCAAAAAAATGAAGAACCCCTTCGTTGGCTCTGGATGAGTCTGAAATCCTTACCTGGTCATATTGCCTCGGAAGACTGTCTTGCAAGTTGACTTCGAGATGGACTGACTGCACCGTGGACTGATATTTAACATTCAATTCGTATCTCATTTCTAGACTGATGCACAAGTACCTCTTTCCATTTCACACATGCCAAATCACGAATTCCAAACTTATTGAACCTTCTCATATCAGATGGGTGTTCTGTTTTATTGTCTCATCATCATTTTCTTCAGAACTTGTCCCTCATCTATACTAACCCGCCTCTAACAAAACACCCTTCCCGAAGACGCCCCATTTCCTACCCCGCCGAGGGGCGTCGAACAAGATCCATCACCATCACCACCCATTAAGAGCGGTAAAACAATGTGGAACCTTGAGAGACATGCAGAAGAATGAATAACAAGAAACTCCAATGAAGGCGGTTCTTTGGTGATACCAGAGAACCCGAAACGTAACAAGAGACGGCGGGGGCGGGAAAGGGCGGGAAAGAGAGCGGATAGAGGAGGTGAACAAGTACAGGAATGCATAGCATTAGCAAAAAAAGCAAAGTCATTAGAGTTACATCCAACCCCGTGATCGTACTCAAAACATGATGGGGAAGTTCAGAAACTCTCCCCGAAGTCGTGTTCGCCATCCACATAGCCCTCTTTTCCAAAAGAAAGGGGTGGGTATAATGCTCACGAAACCAAAAGTCGTCAGAAAAGTAATCATCCCCGCTACACATAATGCTCGTATCCACCAGCGATCATACACCTCTGAACATGCGTACGACGAGGAACCACATCGCGCCGATGAACTTGAAAGAAGAAAGACCCGCCACTGACCACAACACGACCGACATGTAGATGTTGGCACGGCCGTCCGTGTCGTCGGTGCTGCTGGCGGTGGGACTTATCCTC